GTTAGACCACCTTCAGAAACCTGGAAGCACTGGATGGCCGTTTTGCCCTGGCATGGGACTCCTCAGTAGTGCTCATCCACGACTCCTGCACCTCGCAGGACTCGAACCCAGGCCCTTCGGTATAGTGCGCTGAGTAAAACCTGATGACGATCTAATCGAAAACAATATCGTTCGCTTATATGTGTTGTTTTAACATTACGATAACCAAATATTTTTGTGGTTAAAACTGAACAAAGGAACTTTGGATGTTGTTAGGATATTCACCAAATATCCTATGAAAAATCATTGTGTAAGTGTAAATTCTATTGGTCGATTCTTGTTGGTCAATAGTATGATCGTCCTAGCTATCAGTGTCACGCACTTCAATGTTGTTTCTTATTGTTCGTTCTAACTGTCAATGTCACAGACTTCAATGCTGTTTCGACCAAAATGTATAAATACGCATTATCTGTAACGTTTTATGACACGGACCCGGACCCAGATCCCTAGTCCGGGATCCTTATGCTCTTCTGGACTGGGATCTCGTACTTTCTGGATGTTTGTAGAATACAGGTTCTACTTCATATGAAGTCTTCTTCTTTTACTCAATGGGGGTTTGGGACGCTTGGATTAGGGTGGCCTGTTGTGTCGCCGGATCCTCGATCCTCGCTTCCGTTTTCCGACTAAAGCAAACTCGTAAGAGTTCAAGCATATCAAATTGACCTGTTTACGTGCATACGTAACAGATACCTTTCGGTCAATTGAGTACATGGATTAGGAAAATCTTAGTGTGATAGTTAACTTAATATTTATAAAAAAATTTTAATATTGTCGGTAGACTTGAATTAACATTCTGAACAATATAATTCTGAATCAACCTGGAGCCATGACAAGGTTACTGTTGGTCCCAAGCCCGGATAAAGAAGGAGGGTTGTGTATAGGTTTAGCCAAACCACCTTATAGAAAAACAATTTGCTAAAAAATACGCTTCCCAGAACACATAGTTTGAGAAAATTGATGCAAATGTGTGTTATTACCAATGAAACATGAAAGGTTTAACTTTGATTACATAACTGAGCGTAGCTGAGGCGTCGTAAAGCTAACTTATTGAATCCAGATTATATAATTAAATTAAAACGATTGGTAAAATCAAGCTAATGGAATGTCATGTACTTAATGTGTGCTTTCAGGTTGCAGGAGAACTAGGATAATTGTTAGTTGTAGCTGAAATTTAATAAACTTTCAAAGTATAAAGCACGTTTTTCAAAGTTTTTCAAACGAATTACCAAACTAGTGAAAAATCACTTTGTAAGTGTAAATTCTATTGGTCGATTCCTGTAGGTCAATATTATGGTCGTCCTAGCTATCAATATCAAGTAACTTCAATGTTGGGAAAATCTTAGTATGATTTAATATCTAAGTTGATATTTTATTGTGCCGCTGGGTATGACTAACTACGTCAGATAAATCTCATATATATATTTCTTCACATTTGAAATCATTAATCAATCATCATTGTTAGACCACCATTAGAAACCTGGAAGCACTGGACGGCCGTTTCGTCCTAGTATGGGACTACTCAGCAGTGCGCATCCACGACTCCTGCTCCTCGCAGGATTCGAACCCGGGACCTTTGGCATTGTAGGCGAACGCCTTACCATCGGACCACTGGGCCGTCATCCAACGGTGTTAATGTCTAACTCTGATTGATCTAGGGATTTTGCGCGACCTCGCCCATTTGTCTTTGGTAGTTACTGCCTACACCCGACAGGGTTGAACTCCACTGGTCACGTCTTCTCAACTAGAACTCCGAGAATTTCCTCACGAAGCTAGTCACTAGTGAGCACTGTTACAAAGACAAATGGGTGAGGTCGCGCAAAATCCCTAGATCAATCAGAGTTAGACATTAACACCGTTGGATGCCGGCCCAGTGGTCCGATGGTAAGGCGTTCGCCTACAATGCCAAAGGTCCCGGGTTCGAATCCTGCGAGGAGCAGGAGTCGTGGATGCGCACTGCTGAGGAGTCCCATACTAGGACGAAACGGCCGTCCAGTGCTTCCAGGTTTCTAATGGTGGTCTAACAATGATGATTGATTAATGATTTCAAATGTGAAAAAACGCAAACCTCCAAAACTGTGCCCCAATATAATGTAACAGTGCTCACTAGTGACTAGCTTCGTGAGGAAATTCTCGGAGTTCTAGTTGAGAAGACGTGACCAGTGGAGTTTAACCCTGTCGGGTGTAGGCAGTAACTACCAAAGACAAATGGGCGAGGTCGCGCAAAATCCCTAGATCAATCAGAGTTAGACATTAACACCGTTGGATGACGGCCCAGTGGTCCGATGGTAAGGCGTTCGCCTACAATGCCAAAGGTCCCGGGTTCGAATCCTGCGAGGAGCAGGAGTCGTGGATGCGCACTGCTGAGTAGTCCCATACTAGGACGAAACGGCCGTCCAGTGCTTCCAGGTTTCTAATGGTGGTCTAACAATGATGATTGATTAATGATTTCAAATGTGAAAAAACGCAAACCTCCAAAACTGTGCCCCAATATATATTTCTATAAAGATATTTTATTTATGCATTAGAGATCATTCATTTCATGTACACTTATGGTATTTGTTAAACGATCGTTTTGAGGTTAGCTTTCATAGAAAGAGAGTAATAGTAGTATGATTAGGCATGAATATAGCAGTGATGTTTTTAGAAACGTAACATGGTACTGTGAAATACGGTGATCAGCTCAATTTTTCAACTATCAATTTTGCCTATCGAATGGTATTGTAAATGAGAGTACCTAGTACCTAGTTGGGGAACTATCAAAGCCATTATCCATATGATATATGTGTTTCTTAAGAGTTGTCTAAACGATATACTTCGTATTCGTCGGCCAGACGCATGCTGGGACAAATTCCAGCAGAGGAAGAGATAAGGAAGAAGTACCGGTGGTGGGTAGGACATACATCGCGGAAATCACCCAAATGTGTTAAAATACAAGCCCTAACATGGAGCCCTTAAGGCCTAAAAAGAAAAAGATGACTGAAGGATACAATACTCTGAGAATCGGAAGCGGATATGAGAAGAACAAATAGCAACCGGATAGAACTGGAAATGTAGGTCCAGCTTTGAGAATGCTGGTCAGTGGTCTATGATCCATTAGCGGGTAACAGGCTTAAGTAGGTCAGAAATCACTTTCTCAATGAAAATGAAATAAATGTTACTTTCAACGATGTAAATAACAGTCAACTGATTGTGTAAGTAAATATATATATATATATATATATATATATATATATATATATATATATATATATATGTATATATATATATATTTGTATCATAAATTTATCAGTGATTGAAAGTAACTACTGGTATTCATCATCATCATGTTACATAAAATCCTTGTTATAAAAATAATTGATTCTATGAAAACAACAATTTCACACGAACTAAAAACAGTAGATTGTAAATGTTTTTTTAGAACGATCTAATTCATGATATACAAGTTAAAATGGGAAATAGATTAAACTAACAATTTCATTCTAAACATGTTTATCATTTAGAAAAAATTAATCTCATAATCAGACCACCATTAGAAACCTGAAAGCACTGAAATACGGCCGTTTCGTCCTGGTATGGGACTCATCAGTAGCAGTGCTCGTCTACGACTCCGGCACCTGGCGGGATTTGAACCCGGGACCTTCTGACAACTAACCTGTGGACCACTGACCCGGCATCCAATGGTGCTAGTGTCTACGTCTGATCAATCTAGAGATTTTGCGCGTCCTCACCCATTTGTCTTTAGTAGCTACTGCCTACATCCAACAGGGTTGAACTCCACTGTTCACGTCATTTCACCAGAACTCTGAGAATTTCCTTACGAATCTAGTTACTAGTGAGTAAGAGTGGTGAATGCGCACTCTCACTGAAGAGTCCCATACCAGGACGAAACGGCCGTCCAGTGATTCCGAGTTTCCAATATTGGTGGTCTACCAATGATTGATTGATTGATTGATGATTTCATTGTCCCAAAAACACTAATCTCCATAACTCTAATTGAATAATCCTAATGTGGATTATTTTTTTAATTATTTCTAAAACAGAAATTATCTGTTAGTTAAATTTTCCAAAAAATTAAATTTGATGTTTTTAAACGCATTATTATAACACCAGATTTAAATTTTATTTCAAAACTTGATGACATCACAAATGTGATGATGTAATTAATCGGGGGTGGGGGGGAGAAAAAAAATAAAATTTTCGAAAAAAAATCAGGTTGTCTATTCATTATTTTCCAATCAGTAGTATTTTAATTTTTCTGAAAAAAAGGAACGCAGGAATTTCAAAATAAATAATCAAAATATATATAGATATATCTGTATCTGATAGCTAATTTTAGTAAATGAATACGATCTAACTGAAACAAAATCATTTCTGAAAACGTTTTTTTTCTAAAAATAAAATCTAATTGGTATTCAAAACAAATCACCTGTGTAATCAGTTAGTTAGTTAGTTAGTTAGTTAATGAGTGAGTGATTACATAATTTTAATTTAAATTCATCTGATTAAAAAATATACAACTTGTATTTATGATGTAGATCAATGTAAATGCTGATAAAATTACAATGATCATTATAACAACCGCAATCAGTTTATTTATTGTACATTGAATGTCATTCATTATTCTGTGCTCATTCATGGAGAATCTTACAGGATAAACTTTCAAATGAGTTAAATGAACAAAACATATACCTGTTACAGATAAGATCTTTTCAATGAAATCTAATATGACAGTGTGGTTTGTTTTTTTCGCATATCCCATGAACATAGATTTCGATGCTAGTTAAAAATGTACACGTTCAATGTTCAAGGCGAAGGCAATATATATATTCAATGAATATATTCAAAAATGAACCACTCAAATAAAATATTGTTTTCATCGTGAATATTGAATTTTCGCGCTTATTTTAAATAAAACAATAATTCAAATATACATATATACATATTATTTTTCGATAACTTACTTCAGAGTTGAGGAAACAATAAATGAGCGTAACCCAGAAACCCTTAAAAATTGAAAAAAAACAGTTGATTGATAAGAAAAAGAAAGGAGGTATTTAAATTAAAGAATGAATAAGTAAAGTATTAACTGTGTATTTTTTTTCAAATAGTACATACTTAATTCTTACTTACGTACGCCTGTTACCCCCGATGCGGAGCATAGGCCGCCTACCAGTTTTCTCCAACCAACTCTGTCCTGGGCTTCCCTCTCCAGTTCTGCCCAATGTTTGTTTATTCCTCTCATGTCTTTCTCTATTTCTCGGCGTAATGTATTCCTTGGCCTTCCTCTTTTCCTTTTGCCTTGAGGGTTCCATGTGAGGGTTTGTCTTGTGACGCAGTTAGGTGCTTTTCGTAGTGTGTGTCCTATCCACTTCCACCGCTTCTTCCTGATTTCCTCCTCCACTCGAATCTGGTTTGTTCTCTGCCACAGTTCGTTGTTGCTGATGGTGTCTGGCCAACGAATACGAAGTAATTTGCGTAGACAACTGTTAATAAACACTTGTATCCTCTGGATGATGCCGTTTGTTGTTCTCCAGGTTTCTGCTCCATATAGTAGAAATGACTTGACATTTGTATTGAAAATGCTGATTTTGGTTTTGGTTGAAAGTTGTTTGGGGTTGCAGATATTTTTCATTTGTAGAAATGCAGCCCTTTCTTTGCCGATCCGCGCCCTCACATCTGCATCGGATCCACCTTGATTGTCTATGATGCTGCCCAGATATGTAAAGGTGTTAACGTCTTCCAAGGCATCTCCATCAAGCGTGATTCGGTTGGTGCATGTTGTGTTGCATTGGAGAATTTTGCTTTTTCCTTTGTGTATGTTGAGACCTACTGCTGCAGAGGCTGCTGCTACACTGGTCGTCTTCTCTTGCATTTGTTGTTGCGTGTGCGATAGAAGAGCCAGGTCATCTGCGAAGTCCAGAACGTCCAGCTGCGTTCTAGCTGTCCACTGATTACCGTGTTTTCCTCCAGATGCTGATGTCTTCATAATCCAGTCGATGGATGACCAGGAGAAAGAGAAAGGATGAGAGTAAGCAACCTTGCCTGATACCGGTCTTCACCTCGAAAGAGTCTGTCAGCCTTCCTCCGTTTCTGATTCTGCAGTTGAATCCATCATAAAATTCGGTATGATGTTACCTATTTTCTCAGGCACACCATAGTGTCGAAGAAGCCTTCACAGTGTTTACCTATCCACGCTATCGAATGCTTTCTCGTAGTCAATGAAGTTGATGTAGAGTTGTGAGTTCCATTCAATTGATTGTTCCACAATGATCCATAACGTAGCAATTTGGTCAGTACACGATTGATCTTAACCGATGTGATGAAAAACTCCCATTTATTCATTGTAAACTCTGAAAATCTTCACAATGAAATTTCATATTTTAGCTATCTGATTTGTAGATACTCAAAAATATGCATTTTAAATCTTTGTGAATAGTACAATTTGAAGACATTTAGATTTATCTGCAAATGGCTAAGATTGATTGTACTTCCATAATATTGTTAAATCTATATTCTGATTAAATATCTCAAGGTAGTCACATCACATTTCTCAAAAGAAACACAAAATTAAGAAGCTATTCGTTTCTTTTAAATTTCTCAGCAAAAACCAATTTGTGATAGGTTTACATACATTGAATAAAACCACTTAAATATTTAAAGTTAACGAGTATGAAAAAAATTCTTAAGCATAAATATTTATAATAAGAAATTAACGTTTTGAAGTTTGGTGGCGTAGAATTTTGAACTGTCCTTGTGGTTTGAGCTAGATATAAGTAGTATATGACGTGAGTGTCAACAGAATGTCTGGCAGCAGAACATGGGGGAAGATCAAGAAAGGAAGAGTTAGAAGAACAAAATGGAATCTGTATGAAACGGATGAATAGTGACAATGGATTGATGTTTTGCAAGAGGAACAGTCCAGTTCGATATGATGAACTTATATTTTGCAAATTAACGATTTACGATATGGTTTTCGTATTTTACTGAGTAACTCTGTAATTTTCGTTACATACAATTCGGTTGCCCCACCTATGTTCTCGTTCACTACATCCTCCATTTTTTCGATGTTTTTATAAAACATCTGTGAATGTAAACATCAGTCATCAATCACTAGTTTGCACATAAAAACCTTTTGCAATCTCACAATATATCAGAATACATTAGAACTATCAATGTACTTGACTTATTAAGCGAGAAATAGTTGAGATTTATTTTTCACTAACTAAATATCGAATACTTGTTCTTTAAATAATCTCTAAACATTTCAGAAACAAAGTTCTTTATGCCAGTGGTAACATAAAATTTTCATTCAATTCAGTTTTAATCTGTAATCATCAAATCATGACTTAATTGATAATGGAGTTTGAAAAGTAATTTTTAGTTATTGTTGGAAGATGATACCTTGTTGAATTATATGATTAGTGATTGACATTTTGAAATCATGAATCGATCAACGTTAGACTACCAGTAGAAAGCTGGAAGTAGTGGCCGGTTGTTTCGTCATGGTATGGGACTCATTGGTAACGCATTATATTTGGATATAAGTTGGTATTTTAGGAAATGTTGAGTAAAATTTTTCAAAGGGAACATTCTTTTTATACATCTGTTTATGATCTATTTTCAATTATTTATCAGTAGTATGAATTTTCAATGAGACTATTTAAATTCACTTCAGTTATTAAAAGTCATTCCATGTACCTACAACCAATGGTTGCTATGGTTGTCACAAGACAAGCCCCTCACTTGGAAGCCTCAACGACAAGGGAAAAGAGAAAGGCCAAGTAACGCATTACACTGAAAAATGGAGACAGACACGAGAAGAATGAAGAAAAAATTGGACAGAACTGGAAAGTCGAGCCGAGGACACAGAGTAGGCTGAAGCATACTGGTTTGTGGCCTATGCTTCGTATTGGGGGTAACAGGCGTAAGGAAAGTAAGTAAAACAAAGGTGGGTTGATGATTATCGGTTTAAATGTCAGTGTCTGTTTAATTATTTTACAAAACTGTATGCATTGGGTTTTGTGACAGCTAATTTTTTGTTAGTTAGGAGTGATTTCTCAAATTATTTTTGTTTTCTGATCTCTCCGGAAAGGAACAAATAGATTATGTAAACGTTTCCAGGACTAAATGCTGTAGGTTTGCATTGTGGTGGACGGAAATTTTAGTTTTTATGTGATTTTGCAAATTTCTTTATTTTTAGAGATAATCGTCTGTGTAAATATTTTCAGAAAGTTTAAAAAGAAGGATAAATAATTTACTACAGGAAGTGTATTCTTTTTTACCAGGAAATTTGAACTCCAAAAAAAGAAAAGATTTTCTACCCGTAGTATTTTAAAATGCATCGAGTTCTTTACAGAGTATTAAAATTAGTGGAAATAAATACAGTCTGGTTGATATTTCATCACTTTTATTACTGAAAACTAACAACAGTGAATTCAACTAGCTACCATTATTTCATCAAAATATTTTCCAATCAGAATTATGGAGATTATTATTTTTACAAATTTAAAATCACCGATCAATCATTGTTAGATCAACATCATGAGAAACCTGGAAGCACTGGACAGCCATTTCATCCCGGTATGGGATGCAGGTATGACTCCTGCACCTCGCAGGTCACCCAAAATCCTTAGATCAATCAGAGTTAGACATTAACACTGTTGGATACTGACCCAATGGTCCACAAGTTAGGCGTTCGCGCGCAAGATCGAAGATCCCGGGGTGGAATCCTGAAAGTAGCTGGAGTTGTGGATGCACACTAACACTGATAAGTCCCATACCAGGACGAAACAACTGTTTCTAATGGTGTCGTCTAACAATGATTGGTTGGTGATTTCAAATGTGTAAAAAATACAAAATGTTGAGAATTATCAACAAGGTGTTTCAGTGTATTTCAAAAATTTATACTATTTTTTATTCTATCGTGCTGACATTTTAAATTGCTTTATAACAATAGTCATATTAATAATAATCATATGGCTGAGTAATATAACTCCGTATGTTTCTCAATGAACCATTTGACATTTAGTAACATTATGAAATTCTAATCTTCTGAATTCCTCATGACCATATTTTTTCCTCTTTCTTTTTAAGTCGATTACTCTGGGGTATACATTTCGAATGATATATTGGATCATTAATCTTTTTGAGTACTGTTAATACTTTTAGTACCTCTACTACTTCAATGCTAATGCGGTGTTGCAACGTGAACTGATATACGTACGTACGAAGTTTCATGTTCTAATTGACTGACTGACTGATTTAGTAAAGTATGGAAGTCAATGATCTATTTGTTATTGCTTGAAATTGCTTATTCCGAAAGATCCATTGTTCCTTTATTGAACACTTGTAAAATTTGAAGCAAAACAAACCAGTTGATAATAGTTAATTCTGTTGAAAAAATTCAATGTTCAACATAAATTCACTAAATGTTCAATGAATAAAGTTATTTTCAATTAAATATTGATTGAGATTGATTCGAAAACTGCATTGGAATTCTTAAATTCTGTAAACATCTTCAGTAAGTTGACTGATTTAATATGAAAGACCTTGAGTCTCTTTGAGTCGATACTGGAGCTAAGTAACTGTCTCATGACCTTTGAACTTCTGTTGATTATGTAAACTTCAAACAAATTATTGAGGACGTTAGATTCCCGGAATTCACTTGATAAAGTTCCTAATTTTGGATTTCATGTTTTCTAGCATGGGCTGACCAGTTGACCGTGAGTTTACATTTAACACTGGGAAAATCCTTGGCTGTTATTGGTTGATGTATTGTTTTAGTACGCTATTTTTGTGGCTCTCCTAAGGACGATTCTATTATGTATAGATAAACTCAATTTATGTGCTTGAGGAACCCTATTTTTTGGGTGCTTTTAAAGTACACTTTCTACGTCTTGTCAAGACTTCTTCCTCTATTAAGTGGGGCCTCAGGACGCTCGGATTAGAGTAGCCTACCGTGTAACTGTGTCATTTTTCTCTACTCTCGTTTACCAACTAAGGT